AAAAAAAAAAAAAAAAAATAGTTCAGCTCACGCCTATAATCCCAGCAATTTGGGAGGCTGAGGTGGGTGGGTTACCTGAGGTCAGGAGTTCAAGATCAGCCTAGCCAACAAGGTGAAACCTTGTCCCTACTAAAAACACAAAAATTGGCTGCGCATGGTGGCACACACCTGTAATCCCAGCTATTCGGGAGGCTGAGGCAGGAGAATCATTTGAACCCAGGAGGTGGAGGCTGCAGTGAGCTGAGATGGCACCACTATACTCCTGGGCAACAGAGTTGAGACTGTCTCAAAAAAAAAAAGAAGAAGAAGAAAGAAAGAAAAAGAGAAAGAGAGAGAAAGAAAGGAAAGAAGAAGGGAAAAAAAAGAAAGAAAGAAGGCACTCAGGCAAAAATAGTTCAGGCCAAGCACACATGGCTCATAACTATAATACCAGCACTTTGGGAAACCAAGGCAGGAGGATGGCTTGAGGCCAGGAGTCAAGACCAGCCTGGACAACACAGCAAGACCCCGCCTCTACAAAAAATAAAATAAAAATGGTTCAAAATTATCTCCCAAATACATGCTTGTTATTCAGAGTCATTACTCCAGCGAAATAAAATGAGAAGGTTAAACCTTCTTCTTTTTCTCTCCCTCCCTCTCTCTTACACATACACACAAAGGTCAAACAGATATGCATCAATGTGTTAACAGTCAATGGATACCTCTGGTGGTGGAATTCTACATGATTGATTTGATTGAGTGATTGATTGACTGATGCCGGGCCTCTCTCTGTTGCCCAGGCTGGGTGCAGTTGTGTGATATTGGCTCCCAGGCTTAAGCAAGCCTCCCACCTCGGTATCCCGAGGAGCTGGGGTGACAGGCACACACACCACCACGCCTGGCCAATTTTGTATATTTTTTGTAGAGACGGGATTTCATCGTATTGCTCAAACTGGTCTCAAACTCCTGGGCTCAAGCCACCTGCCTGCCTAGGCCTCCCAAAGTGCTGGGCTTACAGGCACAAGCCACTGTGCCCGGCTTATGATCTTAATTTACTTTGTTATGCTTGTTTATCCATCCTGAAATGTGTGTGATGAACACATATTACTTTTGTTATGAGGAAAAGACACACCCCCAACAAATGTTTAAGAAAGAAAAAATCTACCACCAAAGGGGGTCCCAGATGACAGGGGATGTAACTGAAAATGACAAGGGGAGCTTATGGGAGGGAACAGGTGCGGGCTGACTGGGCAGAAGCCAGGGAGGCAGGAGGTGGAGGCCCAGGAGGGTGTGGAGGGCAGGACCCCAGGCAGGAGGCTGGGGTGAGGCCCACCCCTGGGGCCCCTGCAGGGGACAGCTGGTGGCAGAGAACAGAGTCTCCACGTGCCTGCCCCCTGCACCCCTGCAGACTATGCCCACTCCAGCCCACCCACCCGCTCCGGTGTCTCAGCTGCTCCAGACAGGCTCTCAGAGGGTGGGCAACTGGGCCATCAGGGGCAGCCAGGGCGTTTGGACACCTGAGGCTGGGCCTGGGGACAGCAGTGTGGCTGGGAAGACCTTGACCTCCCTGCTGACCTCTCCACCCTCATCTCCCCAACTCCTCTGGTCCCACCTTTTTTTTTTTAGACAGAGTCTCACTCTGTCGCCAGGCTAGAGTGCAATGGTGTGATCTCGGCTCATTGCAACCTCCCCTCCCAGGTTCAAGTGATTCTCCTGCCTCAGCCTCCCAAGTAGCTGGGATAACAGGTGTGCACCACTATGTCCAGCTAATTTTTGCAGTTTTAGTAGACACAAGGTTTCACCATGTTGGCCAGGCTGGTCTTGAACTCCTGACCTCAGGTGATCCATCCACCTCTGGCCTCCCAAAGTGCTGGAATTACAGGTGTAAGCCGCTGTGCCCGGCCTGGTCCCACCTCTTAGTCGCCTCCTGAAGAAATACAGACTGCCAATTGCATTTGATTTTCAGATAAATAATAATGTTTTAGCAAAAGCCTATCCCTGATAATACGTGTGCTTTCCTGTTACTAAAAAATGATTTGTGTTCTGAAACACAAATGTAACTGGGCATGTTGTATTTTATTTGCTCAGTCTGGTAATTCCACCTCCAGGCTGATGCTGGCGCCGTCTCTGCCACTGACTTGTCACCGCAGGCCCTTCTGAACCTCAACTGCTCCAGGCTACAAAACGGATATCAACCCAGTTGCACCAGGCTGAGGCGCTGGAAGGTTCAAAGAGAAGGCGGGCATTCCCGCAGCTCATGTGTCCCGCAGGGTACAGAGGCTTCGTGACGTTGAGTCCACGGGGCGGTTCTTAGGTCAATGTTGCAGACGGGGAAACTGAGGCTCAGAGAGAGGAAAGTGATTTGCCCAGCTATTTTCTCTCTCTTCTCCAAAAAAGGCAGAGGAAGACCTGCGCCCTGAGGGCTGGCAGCAGCAGGATGCGCAGCGAGAATGATATTTGATGATAACAGCCCTGCACTGCATAGTCTCATTCAGTCTTTACAACCACCCCACTGGATGGGAATGAACACTCCTGCCCGTTTAGGAAGAATCCCGTTCATGGGGAGGTGGGATGGCTCACTTGCCCAAGGTCACCCAGCAAGGACAAGGTTGGAGTCCTTTCTTAGAGCCTGACACTATGGCGCTCCTTCAGGCAGGAGACGCTTCGCACAGGGTCCAGGGGGCGGCAGGAACTTAGTACCCAGTGGGTACTGGTATTAACAACAACGGCAAGGTTCCTCTGGCAGAGCAGGGCTTCCTGACCTCGGCACCGCTGCCCTGCAATGAATGGTAGGGTGTTCCGCAGCATCCCCGACCCCCACTTCCCACCAAATGGATGCCTGGAGCACCTTCCTTCCAAGTTGTGACAACCAAAATGTCTCTGCATGTTCCCTGGGGGCCAGAATCATCCCTGAATGAGAATCACTGATTCCGAACAGGTCCTGGTCCTGAATGGGGCTGGCAGCACAGGGGCACCGAGGAGGGAGTGGGGGCACTCACACTCTGCATCTTGGCCTCCGTGTCCACGATGTTCTTCTCCACCTGGTCGGCATTCTTCTGCAGCTGCTCGATCAGCTCTGAGAGCTCCTTGTTAGAGATGCTGTGGGCAGAAGCCGAGGGGAGATAGGTGGGGTGCCTTGTGGGCTGTGCCTGCACAAGCATCCCATCCACCAGCTGGCCCCGGCCCCACGCTCTGAGCAGGAGCTGCCTACAGAGCCTTTGAGGGAGTTGGGCTGTTCCTGTAGGGCGACGTCACTAAAGCCATAGAGACAAGGCAGTGCCTGGCAAGGAGTAAGCCTCCAAATTTTTTTTTTTTTTTTTTTTTTTGAGATGGAGTCTCACTCTGTCACCCAGGCTAAAGTGTAATGGTGCGATCTCACCTCACTGCAACCTCCACCACCCAATGATTCTCATTCCTCAGCCTCCCCAGTAGCTGGGATTACAGTTGCACACCACCAAGCCTGGCTAAGTTTTGTATTTTTAGTGGAGATGGGGTTTCACCATGTTGGCCAGGCTGGTCTCGAACTCCTGACCTCAAGTGATCCATATGCCTTGGCCTCCTGAAGTGCTGGAGTTACAGGCATGAGCTACTATACCTGGCCAGCCTCTGCTTTGATCATTCTCTCTACTGTTTCTATTTTTTATTTTTATTCATTCATTATTTTTTTTTTTGAGATAAAGTCTCCCACTGTTGCCCAGGCTGGAGTGTAGCAGCACAGTCATAGCTCACTGCAGCCTCCATCTCCCCGTCTCAAGCAATCCTCCCAGCTCAGCCTCTCAAGTAGCTGGGACCACAGGCACATGCCACCACTCCCAGGTAATTTTTACATTACTTTTGGTAGAGAGCGGGTTTCACCATGTCACCCAGGGTGGTCTCGAACACCTGAGCTCAAGCAATTCGTCTATCTCGGACTCCCAAAGTACTGGGATTACAGACGTGGGCCACCAGGCCCTGCCTACACATTTTTTTTGGAAAGATACAGTCTTGCTCTGTCACCCAGGCTGGAGTGCAGTGGCATGATCACAGTTCACTGTAGCCTCGAACTCCTGGGCTCAGGCAATCCTCCTGCCTCCGCCTCTTGAGTAGCTGGGACCACTGGCACCACCACCACACCTGGCTTCTAATGCTTTTTTTTTTTTTTTGAGACAGAGTCTCCCTCTATTGCCCAAGCTGGAGTGCAGTGGTACAATCTGGGCTCACTGTAACCTCTGCTTCCTGGGTTCAGGTAATTCTCCTGCCTCAGCCTCCCGAGTAGCTGGGACTACATACAGGCATGTGCCCATCACACCTGGCTAGTTTTTCTGTATTTTTAGTAGAGACGGGGTTTCAACATATTGGCCAGGCTGGTCTTGAACTCCTGACCTTGTGATCTGCCTGACTTGGCCTCCCAAAGTGCTGGGATTATATGTGTGAGCCACTACACCCAGCCTGCTTCTATTTTGCCATGTTGGCAAAACATACCATATTTGAAAAATTGAGAGATAATTCACATGCTGTAAAAGTCACCTGTTTAAAGTACACAGTCAGTGGTATTTAGTACTATATATTCAGAGTTGTGCAACCATCACCACTATCTAAGTCCAGACATTTTTATCGCCCCAAAGCTCCACACCCACAGGCTGTCACCCACTATTCCCCACCCCCTCTAGTCCTAGGCAACCAGAAATTTCTCTCTATGGATGTGCCTATTCTGGACATTTCACAGAAATAGAATCACACAATACGTGGCCTTTTGCATCTGCCTTCTCTCAGCATGATGTTTTCAAGCTTCATGCATATTGCAGTATTGATTAGAACTTCATTCTTTTTATGGCTGAATAATATTCCGTCATGTGGCTACTTCACATTTTGCTTATTCATTCAACACCTGACAACCATCTGGGCCGTTTCCACCTCTGGGCCGTCATGAGAATCACACTGCTGTGAACTTTCGGGAACAAGCTTTTGTGTGAGCAGTCTGATTTTTAACCACCTGACGTTTTTCTTTCAACCACTCATTTTATTTTAGAGTTAAATAAATGTGTTTACAAAGGTAACTTGCTCTCCCCATTTTAAACAGAAAACCAAAATCCCTCACCATGAGTGAATTAGCTGCTAAAATCGATTTCACGGGAATGTAATGGCACTGGGTTCTGTGGTGACACCTGGCTGCCTGCTGCTACTGACAGCCGTGGTAGTGTCAGGCCCAGCCTTTTTCCTGATCTTCTCAGAGAGGTTGAAAGAGAATTGACGCCCAATATGGTTGCTCATGCCTATAATCCCAGCACTTTGGGAGGCCAAGGCAGGCGGATCACCTGAGATTAGGAGTTTGAGACCAGCCTGGCCAACACGGCGAAACCCCATCTCTACCAAAAATACAAAAATTAGCTGGGCGTGGTGGCGGGTGCCTGTAATCCCAGCTACTGGGAGGCTGAGGCAGGAGAATCGCTTGAACCCAGGAGGGAGAGGTTGCAGCGAGCTGAGATCGCACCACTACACTCCAGCCTGGGCGACAGAGCAAGACTCTGTCTCACAAAAAAAAAAAAAAAAAAAAAAAAAAAAAAAAAAAGAAAAGAAAAAGATAAAGAGACTTGAAAGTAGCCTGACTCTCTCCCTCACTGCCTCTGTGTCCCCTCCTGTTACATCTGTCTACTGCCCCCATCCCTCAGAACCACACACAGACCACTCTGGGAAATGCTTCAATGGAAGTTAGTTAAGACCTTGGCCCTGGGAGCAGCTGTGGTTTCAGATCTTGGCTTCCATCAGCCACTTAGTGGCTGTGTGACCTGGCCAAGTTCCCTTGCCTCTCTGCCCCTGCCTGCCAAACCGATAGACTAGAGTAACAGAACCTTTCTCGGCGCTGGGGCGGCAGCGGTTACGAATGAAAGTGAGGCTACACAGGCAAAGGGCTGTGCACACAGCCAGGCACAGACGAAGTCTCAACAAAGGTTTGTGATTCTAGTTGTCAAGGAGTGTTAGCGATCACCCAGCTCTGCCTCTGTTGTTTTGAGACGGAGTCTCGCTCTGTCACCCAGGCTGGAGTGCAGTGGTGTGATCTTGGCTCACTGCAACCTCTGCCTCCTGGGTTCAAGCGATTCTGCTGCCTCAGTATCCCAAGTACCTGGGATTACAGGCGCCTGCCACCACGCTCAGCCTTCTTTCGTTGTTTTCTTTAAACAAAGAAACAGAGACCAGAGAGGGAAAGCAACTTAGCCAATGTCAGCCAGCCAGCAGTGACAATTGCGACTAGTCCCATGTCCCCCACTCCGTCTCCAATGAAACGCACCTGCTGTGTGTGGGCCCAGCACCCAACCCAGACAAGCCTCTCCCTCCCTGATTCACCAGACAGGCCAGGAGGAAATAAGTATTTATAGAAACAGTCATAAGGCTGAAGCAGGCCTGGGGGCTGGGGATGCCTAGGGATGCCTCCAGGCTGGCTGGGTGGGGACAGGGGTGGTCACTGAAGGCTTCCTGGAGGAGGTGGTGTCTGCTGGGTGTTGAAGGAGAAGGAGGGTTCCTGTGCAGAAGGCTTCAGTAAGGAGAGGCCTTAGAGAGGCAGGTCCTGGCGCGTCCTGCAGGGTGGGTCAGGGTGGGGTTCTTGATGGTCAAGGCAGAGGGGACCACCAGTCCTTTAGAGTGATGCTCTAATGATCAAGGTTTTGGGGTCTAGCATGAAAAATTCAGATTTTGGGCCACTAACCCAGACCTGCTGAAACAGGTCTTCAGAGCTGGGCCCAGGAAGCTATATTATTATTGCTATATATAATGTTTTGAGATGGAGTTTCACTCCTGTTGCCCAGGCTGGAGTGCAATGGTGCATCTCGGCTCACTGCAACCTCTGCCTCCTGGGTTCAAGCGATTCTCTTGCCTCAGCCTCCAGAGTAGCTGGGATTACAGGCGCCCACCACCACACCCAGCTCATTTTTGTATTTTTAGTAGAGACAGGGTTTCACTATGTTGGCCAGGCTGCTCTGGAACTCCTGACCTGAGGGAATCCACCCACCTCAGCCTCCCAAAGTGCTGGGATTATGGGTGTGAGCCACGGCGCCTGGCCTATAGTATTATTATTTTTGAGACGGAGTGTTGTTCTATCACCAAACTGGAATGCAGTGGTGAGATCTCAGCTCATGGCAACCTCCGCCTCCCGGGTTCAAGTGATTCTCGTGCCTCAGACTCCTGAGTAGCTGGGATTACAGGTTTGCATCACCATGCCCAGCTAATTTTGTATTTTTTTATTTAGTAGAGACAAGGTTTCACCATGTTGGCCAGGATGGTCTCAATCTCCTGGCCTCGTGATCTGCCCGCCTTGGCCTCCCAAAGTGCTGGGATTACAGGTGTGAGCCACCACGCCAGGCCTATTATTGCTATTTTTATAGGTTCCCCAGGGGACCTGGACACCCACTGGAGTCATGGACCAGCACTGCAGGGGCTGTTGATGTTGGGGGTGGAAATGGCAGTAGCAAACATGCTGGGAATCCACCCCTCTATGACCCAAATCTAGCCTAAGGGCCAGCTTCGCAGCAGACGTGGATATACCAGGGCTGTGGGAACTTGGGGAAACAGGATCCAGAGCACACCTTCTGCAAGGTCAGCGGGGGGCAGCCTTTCCCAAAGTGGGGTCCAGGAACCCAACTCTTAGAAGTCTTATTCTTCCTTGGTCAAGGCAGTTAGGAAAATCCCACCCTTGATATGCTCATGAGCCAGCAAAGGCACTGGTAAGTCCTGCAGTGGAGAAAGCTGGTGTTTGGTGGGGTGCCCAGGAAGGCTTGGCATGGGGAGCTTTGGATGGAGGATCTGGGTAAGAAGGGATAAGCTGGGCTTCTAGAACGGCCAGGTCAGAGGTCCACCCCCTCCCCTCCCTCATTCCCTAACCCCCCACTTCCTGGTTGGGAGGCCACATGGAGAACGGAAGTTTCTGGGCCCCCACATCCCCACCGCAGTCACCCCCACCCAGTCACTGGGCCAGCTGCACTGAGAGGTGGTGAGTCTCCCCCCAAATACTGAACCCCTGACTCTGCAGTGCATGGTTGGGGTCTGCACTGTGGCTCAGGTGGGGGCCTTTGTCTCTCTTGAACACGGCCCCACCTCAGGCACAGGGCCAGCTCCCACGCCAGCCCTTT